AAATTGTGAGCAGCTTGTTGAAATCTTCCAGCTGTAATTTTACACTTTTCCTCTTTTGTGGAGGGAGATCTGCAGAGATCGCAATTAATGAGGGTGAATTTAGAATAAAAATTTCGATAATCGACGCCTCGAGTTTGCTTAGGCTTGGAATCCTTCTCTGATGGATATGATCTTTAATATAAACAGATGTGGGACTATCCCATATTTCAAGTGGACCAACAGCTTGTCCATCATTAGGATAAAAATTGTAATTTGCAAGCTTGAAAACTATAGCTGGCTGGAATTCGATCTTTTGGACAAGAATAATATCAAAGCTTTTCTCAGACACATAAGCCCTGAATTCATGAAACTTTGCCATAATATCGTTAGCGTTCCAGAAACAGAGTTTTATAAAATTCAAACCTTTAAAAGCATTGGATATTAATGATAGGATTGATCGGAAAATAGAAGGGTTCCATAACTCTCTAAGATATAGTAGGCAACATCAGCACCTGATGGAGCCACTTGACAGTGTAATTTTAAAAGCTAAAAGCAAGTTTTGCCTGTTAATACCAGGCTGTAAAGAAGTTTGGATTAAAAAAAAATTATCCAATGGCGGGCACTTGCCTATTCAGCGCTGGCTCTTCCTAAGGCAAGAAGTGGTGGCCATTTTGTTGTGGAGGCACCTAATAGGGGGCCACCGATGCCTCCTATGAATCGACGGACAGTTACAAATATGCCTTCTCCCGGATTCGAACCTGCGTTCTTCGGTACCGGAGTAGGCTTCCCTAACTACTCTATTGTGTGGGTGGTGACATTTGGATTATAATAGAAAGGATATCGGTGAAATTTAGGTTCGAATTGATTCTGGAGAGGACCGATAAATTTGGAATAGTTGTTGAAGCAGCGTGATGTTTTCGATTGAAATACTGGACTAGGAAAACTCCGGGGTATTATTTTATATATTATATTGTCAGTATTAAGAGGAGTAACAGTCGATTTTAGATTTGAATATTTGTTATTAGAATTTTTGGGATGTTTGATAGATGGATTTGGTACTGCCCTGATTTTGTTGGTTCTTGAATCCAGGAAACTTCAGACAAGATCTCCAGTTGGCGTTATGTGACCTCCACAGTCAGCACACTTGATGGGATCTTCAAAAGGTTTCCAACAATCTTCTGCTTGGTAAGGGCTCGCACAGCGGGCAGACTTCTGGGGCAGGTTTCAAACCTTAGAAGTGAGGAAGAACCCCTAGCGATGTCAACATTGCGAAGGTCCTTTTCGTCCTCGAAAAGATTCAATTTCTCACGTGGGGGCCGAATAGATTGGTCTAATTGAAGATTTGACAGCTTTTAGAATATTGAAGACTTGACCATAAAATAAAGGAAGTTTCATCTTGTTCTTGAATTGTTTCATTTGCAAGATTTTTTGTACTTTATAACAAAATACCTTTATCGCAATCTGCACGACATCAATGAGCGTTACAGAGTGTAACCCTCAAACAGCTAATTTTAGGGGGCGTCCTGATTTTAGATTTTAGAGTTTATATTCAATCTTTTGCTTAACTGAAAAGCGTGCTAAACAACGCTAGTTTTTATTGTTAGTTTAGTTAAGAGTTTAAGAAAATATCATTCTTGTTAAAATTAATTGAAAGTGCTTAGCTTCGTAACTATGGGAGCAGGAAAAACCAGTCAGCCCCAGGCTTGATTAAAATTGGTTTGGCTTTGGAGCTGAATTTTCAAAAGGCTGCTGCGAGGGCTAAATCGCTGAATATGACGCGCTATTAAGCGACTAAAATTTGCTTATTGGTTTCAGTTTTGGAATTTTCAGCTGAGGTTTTGCTGGGATATTTGTTGATTAAATGCCCAGGAGGTTCAATAAATCATTCTGAATCCTGAATACGGATGCGTTTATTGTAGAGTTTCGTTTTATATGGGATTTTATCATTTTTAGTAGTCTGGTCATGTTCCAAATGATTAGTGACTGGCTGGCTATTTTCGTCTGAATTTTGAGGTAGTTTAGGTAGGGAAGGCTAGTAGGGGAGTACCAAGACATTCACAATGTTGATTTAAAATATGAAAAATAGTATATTCACTTTGATGATGAAGCTCAGTGATCATTTTCTCGTTGACAGGATCCATACGTTGTAGTAACATGATTTAGAATGGAGTTCAGTATACCGTTTCTTGAGCTGATAAATGCGACCAGAGATGGTTTCAATGTTCCAGTACACAAATATCAGGAAGAGGTTGTGTATCCATAATAGGAATGCTGATAGATAGCTGGGCCGAAGTCTGAACATTGTTTTGCATAACATTAGCAGAAGTAGAGTCGAGGTTGTTATCATTAGCTTTGAGCTCGGAGCTAGCAACTACACGTCCTCATCATCGGCGTCCATGATGCGAATTCATGTCGAAGTAATCCGAAAATGAAAACGTTTTGCGCTACCTTTTTATACCAACTCTAGACAGTATTACTGGCGCACATGCATATGGGCAGCAATGCAATCCTTTTCATGTGCTATCGAAATATGTGCATGGTGGAAATTTGAAGCGTGTTGGATGCGTCATTTATGGGAGTGTAGTTATCTGATTATTGGAAAACACTGTGGAGTATTACGCTGATCATCTAGTTGTAAGAATGTTGTCTATAGTTGTCTATGGAAGTGAACTCGTGCAAACAGAACTTCAAATATCTAAACTAAATGAAGCCACATTCCACCGAAGGTTGAAAATATTTTAGATAAATTCTAGGACTTTTTCTGGAGGCCAAATAAACATTTACTACAAAGCTAGAGGATGTTTCTACCTTTTATTGTATTTTTTCCCAACAAATTAAAAAAAATAAATGATACACACTCCTTTTTGACTAAATTCAACTGTAAGTTTTTTTCATTTGACTAAACAATCCGTTTTTTGTTTTGAAATTTAGTTTATTTACGGAGATTTTGAAACTAGATGTATACTATTGTTATTTGCTATGTTGAAATTTATGAAGATATTATGTTTCATTTATGTAAAACAAAACGCATAATCTAATGTTTTTCAGTTATTTAGAAAAGGAGTCTGATTACAACAAAACATAGAATCACGGAGTATTGTCTGTTTATTTACTTAAATGCAGCAAACCACATGAGAAATGCCTACTAAGAGGAGGGATGCTATTGTGGAGGGTTGTTCAAAGGAATTTTGTCATGCGTAAACACCGCAAAGTTCAAATCACGAAAATACTCATGCTGTCAACCTATTCGCTAGAATTGGAATTCAGATCAAACTATCGATGCTCAAAGGATTTATCCGCTGGGCGAATGGAAAACCGACTAACGGCATAAAGAAATGCGCAATAGGCCTATTTGCAAGGCGTAATTGCCTTTCAACCAGTACTTAGGCTACAAATTGCCCCAAATTATAAGCCAACATAACATCTACATTAACGTAATATAACTTGAGTATATTATGCTGTGTTTTCATTTTTAAAGTGAATAAATTTAGAGAAAAAATAAGAAATTTCTTAAATAAACTGTAAAACAAAATTAACTTCATTTGGCCTGAAGGGAAAGAAGAAGAAGATGAATAAAAACAAATAAATCTATACAGGTAAGTTACCGATTTGGATAACTGGAGTCAGGATAGCTGTAGCTCTGCTTTAATCCTAAAGTATTTGAGGCTGGGGTGGTATTAGATGGGAGAATGCAGTTGCTTATTAATAAAGTTGTTCTTGAAAGGTATTCAAATTTTATATCTTAGAGTTTAAAATATCCATGAATATAATCTTTTGATAAAGAAAATTGCTATTTATCTTATTGTAAAGAAAGTTGGCTGAATTAAACATATGTGACAGCAAAATATTTCTAATCTAAAGTAATTATGGCTACTCAAAGGCGTGTTTTCGGCATGTAGATAATTTATTACTATGAAAATTTGGGGCTCTTAGCTTTAGGAGCTACGCCTTTGTGAAAGACATTTAAAAGAAAACTGATTTATCTATTTACGTTTATGATGGCGGAAAACATCTAATGTGCTATAACTTTGTACTTGCCAGTGGCAAATCTACTGCGATTAAAATGTTTAAAAAAATTTACAGCTTTTATTCTATCGAATGAGGACTGAAGATTTTATTTGCCATGAGGTATACTTCGCGATTTACCTCATGACCTAGCATATGATGTGAGTTTTTAAAAAATTGTTGAGTATAGGTGTAAAATATTTACCATCACGGTTTAAGATTATTTATGTTGCTAAAATTAGTCTAACTTAAGATTAATTCTGTATTTTATATTAATAGGTAATTTGTTTCTACTATAATTTCTAGCAACATTGTATTCTAACGTTTTATTAATATATAAATTACATTTATAATAAACATCATTTGTTATGTAAGTTTCATCAACATTTAGAGTCTTTCTTGGTTAATTATTGACTCAAAACAAGAAACAATAAAAAGAATCAATATTAGGATTAATTTCAGCTAGTACTTAATACTCCATCAAGGTTTTGCATTTGTTAAGCGAAAGAAATAATTTAAATAAATGATAACAGTAAACCATTTCAGATCGTTGTTTCAGTTCCAAATAATAGAGCTTTAAGAAATACGTAAAATGAGTTTAAGGGATGCGTAATTATAACACGAGAGGCAGTTAATAAAAAAAAGACAGTAAAGCTGACTATTATTAACACACATTGACTGTTTCAAGGCAGCGCTATTCGAAAAGGAATATTGCTAAATAGAATTTTCTAGAAATATGCTTTTGTGGTACAGCTACGTGTTATAACCATTACTGTTAAGGAAATTCGTCATAGGATGTTTAGAATTGTAATTTTGAAGCACATTTTAAGGATAAAATGAGAGCAGACAAAGTTAATGTTGTAAAAAATAATTGAAATGGCATTTCACATGCGTATTACGCTGTAAAATGCGGCGAAATATTTAATAGTATAATCTGGAATTTAACCAACATAACATAATTCACGGTCTTCGTTTTTTCTTGCATAGCAAAAATTTCAAAGAGAAAAAGTAGCGAACAGAAATTTTTATTTACAAAAATATTACATTTTGAAATATGTACAACTTTCAGGAATCATTTGGAAAACCCAGGTTATAAAAATTAAACATATTTCACAATATCTGACAAAATAAATTCAGTGTGCATAGCCAATACATTATGCAAGATAGATTGATTCATAATTAAGTAATAATTTGGTAAGATACCGTTGACATCATGAACATGAAGTGAGCATGATGTATTAAAAAAGCAGTAATGAAAAATTATTAACGTATTTCAGTATTACCTTATTTGAGTAGGAATTCGTTTGAGATTCCCTATATTAATAGACAATTTGCAATGGTATACTTAGAAAATGACAATTTCTGAGAAACAACAAGTCCCTGTCCGTATTTAAATTTTATTACTGCAATGAACCAAGAGAAAAAAATGGCTGATGTCTGTTCAACATTCTTCCATTTATCTCTTTATATGTCTGATTAATTTTCTTAATGGCTGATTTAAGATATCTATAAAAAACTAAGGCAATTTCAAGATGTGTACTAGGGCTGAGAGTTTTGCTTCATGTAATACTTTTAAAGGTAAATGATAATATTTTCTTTAATGTTTATGCCGCATTTTTACACACAGGATAGGACAAAATGAATCCATTTATGAGAAGATTTACATTATACATTACAGACAGAAACGTCATTTTCACGTCACTTCATATTGAGGAAGAAATTTTGAAATAAATATTTGGTTGAAAATATATTCAACGCAATGTTTTTCCTCTCCAATAAAGGATTTGTTACTATTTAGAAGAGTTGAAACATTATCATATAGATCATGCACAAACATATACTGGTTAGAAACGCGAACAACAGAATGTGATAATAAATACGTGCAGTGTTTTAAAACATTTGTTTTTGCATACGTATAACAAATATCTTTGAGAAGCACTATTATTTTTATTAAAATATATACAGTTGTAAAATTTTAGTTGATATATGCACATATCATAGATTATTTGAGAAACACACATACCTGAAAGTTTTTTTACATCTCTTTAAAATAAGGACTTGTGATTATTCAAATTATTATCTCTTTTATGCAAAATGAAAAAAAAAAAAAAAAAAAAAAAAAAAAAACCAACTAGTTATAAAAGTTTTTATTTCGGTTTCTCAGTGATAATAAAAAATGATTTTTACAGTGCTTTTGGAAGGTCATCTGCTTATGAGAAATGATGAACAGTTGTCAAACTCAAAACAGTGAAAAGAAAAAGTACCTAGAAACTGGACGCTTTTATACTATGCTTATTCCAAGGCATAGCATTACGAAATTGTGAGATATGAATAGTGGCACATAAATAAATACTCGTGTTCAGTATAGTTTTTATTTCTCTCGAAGTTTGATCCATTCGAAACGAAATTTGCAGCAATGGAATATCCACTGTAGAAATTTCCCTTCATTCTCTCTTCCTATACATTCTCGCTCGGAGTTAGTAAAAGGAAAACACATCCTTTGTATCTTCTCAGGACGGAAAACCTACAAATCTAAAAGCAAAATTAAAATTAAATTTCACCCAAAAAATTTTTTTTACATAAATATACAAAATGTTGCTATTGCATAAAACATTATATCTCTTTTCATTTCAGTTTATTACCCGCCGCTTATTAAAATTACTTCCGCTATATCATTTTATTAAGTAGCAGAATTTAATAAACGGCGATTTAAGTCTTGCAAACCGTGATATCGATTTTAAAAATTTCGAGTAAAATAATAACTGCCGATTAATTTATTAAGTAACCTTAAAATTAATTTTATTATAATATTAAGAATTAATAATAAAGTTAAACAATGTACGCAATTTTTAGTTTCATATTAAAATGTTTTTATAAAATATTTTTATAACTACTCTTTTGTTGAAATTTTATCTCTTACAAACATCTATTCTATCTGTGTTTATTTCATATTGTTCAACAATATTTTTTAATTATATTCTGATAGCTTTTCAGTTCAGTATTTCAAGAAATTTTCTTAGAATTTGCAGCGCTTTTCTAGCTTCAATTACGATAGCATGTCATTGAACTTTACTGTATCCCTTTTGTTATCAGATTCTGCAGTTTTTTTAACACTTTCGTAGTCACTTTTTGTAAACGTTGTCTCAATATTGTTGTGAAATGACTCATATTCTAAAAATGAATCCTAATAACTTCCCTCACTAATATCTGAAACAGTAACTGTAGTTTGCAATTCCTCTGAGATTTCTTCTACATAAAAGCCACATTTTCGAAAACAGTTTTTAACTGATTTCAAGGGAATAGCCCCTTGCATTGACTTTCTTTCTTTCCACCGACACTAAGATCAAAGGAGATGGGAAAGTGACTAACAATGACGAGATGGAAAAAAGAAACGGATTGACTTAAGAGCAGCGAAGACTTTCTTTCCACCGACAGCGAGGCAGCCGGTCCACTGGGTAGTTAGCATATCGGCCAGGTAGCCCCGATGACGGAAATAGCTAGATCAACATAACACACTTGTATATACATATTGTGCTCATGACGAGTGCTGGGGGCAGTGCAAACAAGTGCTGGACGAGACGATAGTGCAGTGATGGAAGAAGGGTGCATTGCGGGTGAGAAGAACAATTTCAGTTACATATTTACAGAGTTATGGATAGGTGGTTACAAAAGACACCCACAACGTGAACAATAAATGAGTACAGTGCAATGTATGGGCAATTAACAAAGTGACTGATAAACAGTAAAAGTAATATCTAAAATAGGACTAAATACTAAATAGCAATACTAAAAATAATAAGAAGTAAAATACTAAAAAGCGAAATAATACATAAAATAAAAAAAGGCAAAACAGTGAAAACAATACATAAAATAAGGCAAAATACATAATTCAAGGTTCATAAGTCAGGGTTTACAGTTCAAGAAGATATACAGGGAATAAGAAAAGCCGAATAAGCTAACTTAAGATAAAATTAGTTCATTACAGGTACAGAGCATACAGGGGCTGTGCTGATGACGAGGATGGCAACTGAGAATTACTCCAGCCTTTTGTAAGATTGATGAAGATTGTTATTCAGACATGTCTCTGGATTGTTGAAAACATCAGAGGTCTTTCAGTAACTGAGTTCTTGATAAAAAAGCGTATAATACTAGAAATATTCATAAACGTTAAGGTTATAATCTATATTAATACTGCGCTTTTTCTTACCGCTGTCAAGAACTGCGTTGTGAAGTTAGGCAGAGAAGATTCTAAAGAAGCTATAGTATGGATACGCCCACCAAAGAAATATGCGCGTAAATCGAGAAATGTATGGAAAAAATCGATGTTTTTTGGTATTCGAAAAGAAACAGTAAAAATAAGAGCAGAATTTGAATATTAAAGGAGAGAATGCGTAATTTTAATTCGTAAATTTGACCAGAAATTAGCCTCTTTTTTTTTTTCTTAATAAAAGATAAGATCTTAGGTTTTAAATAACTTAGTTACACAAAACAGCATTTCTCGTAAATTAATAGCCGTATTTGTTAAATTAGATGTATTATGAAGCTATCTTTATTAATATTTAATAATTTGTTATGTATTTAATTCATCTGACGATAAAATCTCCTGACTTACTAGCAAAATAACTTCAATAAGAATTTCAGTTCATTATTAAAAGATTTTTAAACTGAGTAATAATTATAACGACAATAATAATAAATGGTGATTCGTAATGACTGATCTGAATATAAATGAGTTGAATAACTGAAATAACTGAAGATTAGTAATAGTGCCAAGAATGACAAAATTCTGTAAGTTTTAAAAGACCATCAAAATATTGATTATGTTTTCTTAACGAAGCGCTTCTGCTACGATGAATCAATCTGATGAGTTTTTACCGCTACTTGCCACATCATCGGTCACCATTTGATACCTTTTTCGCCTATTTTTTTTAAGAGTTCGTTTCTGATGTTGCTATATTCTTCTCTGAAATTGTTCACTAATTACATGATTTCAAAACTTTCACTGTTGTTGCGCGGTGGTTATGATAAATTATACGCTACAGCAAGTATGAGGAGAATGTAATTATCATCTTTTCGTTCCTTGGGTAACGGAAGGGACTCACATAAAATACCTATACGTAAGACTTGAACTATTTTACTTTCATTTCATATATTTCTTGTCATTTTTTGTAGTAAAATGTGGAAAATAAAACCATTTGAAATGTATTAGATGTTTTGAATTATCATATATGCATCACATCTTTCCCTCTCAAACTGATTTTCATAAGGACACAATTTTGATTTCACTTCTTTTCCCTGTTTTATAGGTGGACATTTAAAAATATAATAAACTAAAATTCTGATATTTATAAATTATTGCGAAACCACTGCTGAAAATGTCGATGTTTTATCAACAAATTTGTTGCCATTGAAAGATACGAAAACATTTTTGTTAATATTGTTGCGTGCTTACGGGTTCGTTATGAAATGAATGCACAAGTCCGATGAAAAATGAACAAAAATTTATTATTATCACAACAATAATGCTTAAATTTTCTCAAATTATCATGCAGTATTACATATCTCACAGTAGTAGTAATCTTTAAAACTACTCAAATGTCCAATAGAACGTAATTCAAAACAGCTAAAGAAAGCTAATCCGCGAATTCGCTACAATCAACAAGAGCAATTTTCTAAACAACAACAAACTAAGCAACTACTACAAACTGAGATGTTTTCCTCCTTTTATAAGATTTTAAAATCACGCGCTAGAATTTTCCAGTACTTTCTCGAAATCAAAAAGAGATATTTATTTATTTAATGCACGCGCTCTTGTATTTTCAATTTTCCGGCTTAGCTTTCTTTTAATATTCGTCACGCGCTGCACTGCGCAAGAAATAAAACCATTTAATTTATAATTGAACTAACATTAGCTTTTTAAATACCAAATTCGTAACAATATGTAATAGTATACGTATTATTGTCATATGAAGGATATATTAGAGATGCCACTTACTTACAAATGATTCAACGTTATGTTGTTAGCTTCAGGAAATGTACGGTGTAGAAATATAGCCATATTTATAATATTTCTCAACAAGATAGTATATCTTTCAAAAGAATTAATGACATGGTAAGCAACAAAACAGTGTCTAATTTTATGATACAAAGAATATAAGTTTACTTGAGTAAGTTGATAAATGTGATATACAAGTTCAACTGAAAAAAAATTCTTTTCCTTTCTTTAAAGAATCGAAATGCATAAATTTCACTGCTAGAAGGCAAATGCATCAAAAATGGCGTTAATCTTCACAGCAACGAAGCTAATGAGAGTTACAGTTATAAGGTATTTGTATTTCTCCCGCCTTCCTAGCGTGCTTTCGTGGTGTAGTGGTTCTGCACGCTGGGCCGGTATTCCAGAGGTCCGTGGTTCGATTCTCGGCGAAGGCGACTGCTCATTTTTCATCTTGTGTGCTTCCAAATAATACACAATGTCTCTACACAGTTTGTAAACACATACTATTAGAATGCAGCATATCTTAAAACGAAACTCTGACATGGATTCATTTACATGCAAATCCATTTTGAAGTGGCATAAAATATTAAGGAAAACAGGTTGCGTTTGTGACCAAAGAAAGTAATATTCTGGCTAACCTTCCACTACGAAGGAAGTTGTGGATGGAGTGACTGTTTGCGACATTTTCTGCTTAGGTTTGAGACTGACTAAATATGTGCACCTCCACAATCTGCAACACTGAATGATCTTCAGGAACACTGCATCAGCGCTGCTTTCAAATATATCACACCAGATACGCTTCACTATGTGGTTAGAACTGGATAACCCTATTGGTGCATTCCGCTTATCAGAAGTCAAGAGTCTCGAATGTTTTGTGATTCAAATCAATACCATCAAAATGCCATGAACTTATGCAACTATCATAAAAAATTTACGAGATCCTTCCCCTTCAGTGCCAAAGTTATATGGCGCTTTCAAATTTTGGGACTGTTTTTGTGTTCATCCTGTATATGCATGTATGTATGTAGGTAAATATTTTCACAACTATGCGTGTATACGTACAGACATATATATATATATATATATATATATATATATATATATAATATACACGTACACACGCATATTTATATAAATATCTACACGCATAGTTATACAAATAACTAATATATATATGTGTATGTATGTACGTATATATTTTCGTAAGTATGCATGTATATGTGTATATGTGCGTGTATTTATATATAAGATTAAGTTAAAAAGGAGCGAGAATTATGGTTATACTATCTAAGAAAAAAGGTGGGAATATTTAAGAGGTCTTAAAAGTAAAACTGAAATTTAGATTCGTCAAAAAGGCCAGTTGTACGGGACATCAATGCTTGTTAAAACTTTAAAATCATTAAAATTAAAGTAGCTCTGAAAAAAATAATAAATGAAAAATAAATTAACATATCAAAAATTAATCATCCCTGTTTAATGTTTCAAACAGAGCTTACTGTTATATACTAGTATATACTTCTAGTTCATTTACTTCCAGTTCTGTTGCAAAAAGTCAGCTACAGAATATCACCAAATCATGTATACAACTTTAGTACCCAATGTTGTATCATATGACACTGTGAAGGTTTGGTACCTAAAGTTCAAAAACAAGGACTATGGCATTCAAGAAGCAGAGCGCTCTGGTTGGTGCACTAATGTTGATAAGGCCCGCCTATGAGAACTTGTGGAAGAAAATCAGTATGCAAATACAAGAGAGCTTGCCAAGGAGTTAGGCGTTAGTGCCATATCCATTAGTCGCGCTATGCATTGCATAAATTTGACATACAAGTTCAATCGCTGGGTGCCGTATGTGCTAACTCAAGCAAATAAGGACAGACGTGTTCGGGCCTGCACTAATCTGCTCAAATATCAACACAAGGACAAATTCTGCAATGGATCGTCACTTTTGTTGAAAAGTGGATTTACGTTAACAACATAGGCCGAAAAGGAGGTTGGTCTGCGTCCGGTGTGCCCGTCCGCAGCGTCGCAAACGCAGTTTCACCTACAAAAGATCATGCTTTGTAACTAGTGGGATTCCCGCGGTATTATCCTCAAAGACTACCTAAGAAAGGTAAAAACTTCGATAGTAAGGGTGTACAGCGAGATGCTAGTTCGTGTTGACACTGCTATCAAGAAAAAACGTCGAACTGATTTCCGACGCAAAAAGGTAATGTTCGTTCAAGATAATGCAAGACCACATGTGTCTGCAGTCGCCAGATGGACTCTGTAGGTCTCGAATGGGATCTTTTGCTACACCCACCATACAGCCCCGACATCGCTCCATCGGAACTCTACCTTTTTCCCACCTGCAGCTACATCTTCCTTGGTACTGTCTTCCATTCTATACAAGGACGTCCGAAATGAGGTTGATCTGATTTTGCATTCGCGCCCACTAAGTTTCTAGGCGAAAGGTTTTGAAGAAATACCAAAACATTGGCAGAAAATCATAGATTTGGGTGGCGATTACTACACGCACTAAAAGTGCTGCTTTCATGTTTTTTAATAACTTTATTAAGAATGTTTTTCGGAGGAAAACGTTTGTTATAACCAGATATTGATATATATTAAATTTTTATAGACATTTCATTAGTCACCTCCAGAATGTCACTGCGTCACATTTAAAAGATGATACAGTAAGGTAACATCATGAAATTCCTAAATACGTTTGTAATTAATGCATTCGTACCCATTTCAGTTTAGCAAATGTAGTTTACATATATGCAGATATTTTTGTAATTAGAAGTGATATAATTTTTTTTTCCATTAATGGGTTGTGGACTGCTACTTGGATGAAGAAACATTTTACAATTTACACTCTTTTTTCTCCCTCTTCGTAAAATTTCAGTTTTTATAAACCAATTAAGTTTTACCTCTACGCCTGTTTTACTTCCTCCAGCTAGCACATTTTGGAGCATATTTCTTTCAGATAGATTTTTCTTTTTGCTTTAATACTTAAAACACTGTTTTATTTGCTAAAAAAAACTTCTTTCATTTTTTACAGCAAATAAAAGTGTTTCTTTTCTGTTCCAGTTGAAATTCTCGCGTTTTGCGTTCGACGTTTGATTAGTGATCTTCATTTTTTGATGTATATGTTTCGAGCTTCTTGAAGGTTTTTTCGAAGATTCTGCGAAAATTAAGAATTTTTTCTAACATCTCGAAAAAATGCTTTTTCATTGATTATTCGTTTCGATGAGCTTTTACAAACAGAAAAGTAATTCACTAGGAAAGAAAGTGTTTTTGATGGCTTCAAACGTTACTGTTAACTTAATATCAAGAGGTGCTGCATGTATTCATATTGTGTAGATTTTAAATGAATTTAATTTAAATTTTAGTAGACCTGAATTCAAATGAATGATTTCTTAAAATTTATAAGCAAATAATGTATTTTATACTTCTGTATCTGCACGAGAATTAAACTAGCTGAAGGCTGGTATTTTTATTTTGCTGTGACAATGGGTTTTTCTGACATGTCATTTATGTACTTTATTGTGTACACAGCCAGCGTAAGGGCTAGTGACGCTGATTGCCGCACCGATGCACTGGGGTCAGAATCCCGGAGAAGGTATGAATGTTTATAAGCATATACTGTCTGTGCGGCAAGGCGGATCTCAATAAACTTGGCGGGCAAAAAATCCTCTGGAGAGGTTTCGCGGTAAGGAAAGAGGGGTGGGAAACCTCTGATAACTCTAGGCGTGTTCTTCGCTCAAAATTTGGGGGGGGGGGAACTGCACAGTTAGTGCTGAAGGACTATACCTGTACGATCAATGATGAACTTCTGATGTCCCGCCACTTTTACCCGCATCTCTAAGTTATTAGTTAAGTTCTTTGTGTTCCTCCTTCGTAAATTTGAAAACACTGTGAAAAAAGATATAAAATCTTTCTATATTAGTGCTGAATTGCTTGTTTATTTTCTTTGACAATACAGTATACCTGTATATAAATACATACAATACTATTTATGAAATTTTATTGCAATTTATGCAGGATAGTGTTCGAATAGTTTCGATTTTTTTTTGTAAAACTGCAATTTTAAGAGTTCATTGGAAGTTTAGAAATATTATGCAAAAATTCTTAGCATTTCAAATCCTGGGTAAAAATTTTAGTGAAGTTTCCTCACAAGGTTGAAAAATTCTATTTATTACTTACAAATTTCCTGGAGTATGAAATTAACTCTTAACTCACAGCCAATAAAGAACAAGGCAACTGCTTTCTAAATTGACTTCCGAAGGCAAACTAAATAGGCTCAAAAATCGTAATTTTTTTTTTTTTACACAGAATTTTCAGCTACCTACCTCATAATGTAGTACCGTATGATATAAATGTAGAATGGAAGAAATGGAACCCCAAAGCAGAACTGAGAAGCGATACTTGCTTCTGTAAAACGGAAACAGAAGAATTATTATTTTAAATTTATTTTGTAACGCATATCTGAAAAAAAGAATTGCAAAAACACACTTTAAAAACATCAACGAATAGAACTTATTATTGTTTAATTCGATACGATATTTAAAGATTTAAATACATTAGACATTTACATTAAAATATGCTAGCATGTTCATACACTTTTGATATAAACTAATAAGGCAAGCAGATGGTATACATTTTAAAATACGTACAAAATATATAAAAAGTGCAGTGGTTTTTTAGCTTTCAGCTTTACTGACTAATTATATAATAGCATGTACTGTTTTGAACCTTTTTTTGATCAATTAAATTTTAATACTGTCGAAGATTACATTTTCGCTGAAGCCCTTAAGGTGTGAAAGAATAATAATAGAATGTGAAAGAGGAAAGTATGACTAAGTGATTAATACTGCTTTATTGTCACAATCCCTTTTTTTATTTGCTGCCGTATGAACCACTTAATGGAAAGATGTTATCTAAGCTGCTGTATAATATAAAATAACCAAGGATATTATCTCAGTTGCTGTGTATTATAAATAAAAAATCTCAAAAACTAAAATTAACTCTTGGTGAGCTATATTTCATTCGAAATTTGTTTAATGAAATTATAAGCTAAGACGGAAGCAGTCAACTTTCGTTCCCTTACGATTTAATTTAATTGTTATTGCGTTTACGTCTGATAAAGGCTTGATTTTATCGTACATCTATAATATCTATGTAAGCTGCAGTATTTTCTGCTTGCACAGTTCAATTTTGCAACTATACAGAAGTTTACGATAAATTAACTTTGTGAATTTATTGATCTGTTTATCTTATGCAATAACTCGCTTAAAACAGAGAGCCAACAGATGGAACATTCTAAAATTTCACAAAGTAACGACTACACAGCTGTACGTTTTCTAGTCATTATAATGTATTATGGTATAAAAATAAAAAATTTAAAAAAAAAGTTCACAGATTACTTAAACGAATGATACTAAGCGATAGTTAGATAAACGATTTTACGGTACAACTTACCTAAACTCAGAAAAATATCTAAAACATCAGAGATGCCCCTCACTTTCATGCATTGGTAAAAAATATGAAACAATTTACAGAACCACTAAATGTCATTTTATATCGAAAGTTTCATCTCTCAAGTATAAATTGTTTTTTAAATCCGAGTTGCATTAACTATGCTGTATTTACGATGGTACCAATCGCGTGAATTTCAGAAATAGCCTAAACTTCCAGATTAAAATTCTTTTAAATGCACAAATTCTATTGCTTTATGCAGAAAGCTCCTTCGAAGCACATCAATTTTGGTTAGCAGGAGTATGGGATCTATATTCAGTGATAGTATATTTGAATCTCTCAATAATAACATTGATCTAGTTGCTATTCAAAAATGCATTATATAAAATAAGCAAACTTTGGATAATATCCCCACTTTCAATTCCTTTAAAAATTGCAGCCACACAATTTTTGTTTATGCTAAAAGAAAACAACCAAAGATGAGTGTTTTTTTATGTCTTCAAAAGCTCTACTAGTTCACATAATGTGTCCAAATAATTTTCTGTATTATTTGGTATATTATATCTTTCGTTTTCATTATCCCTTTCACGTCTGGACCTTTCAGCCCGCGCGGGAAAAAAAAAAAAAAAAAAAAAAAAAAACTCCGTTGCAAAATGTTAGTTTCTACTTGAGTTCTCGAATGTAGGATGTTGTGGAAATTGCTATCATCAGTTCTCGAGGTAAAAATTCATTAAGTACAAACATAGATTATAATATTGTTAGCATTTATCGTACACAGAAGTTTTAAAACATTATTATTTTTTTAAAGCTGAGCAGTACTTTGTATTTTTCACGCTGGATTCTGAAACATCTTCCACAAGTTTTCAGCGCCATCTTTATGTATTGACCAGCTCTCAATGTTGTCATATTTCATCCAAAAACAGGAACTACGTGGTGTTTCTCATGTTTTGATGGAATGGGGTGAATTCCCAGAATTAGGGGTCCACTGTTGCGATCTGCCTCGTCTTGATGGCCTGCTTACAACGAACGCAGAAAATGCTACCTTTCTGCGATTGTCATAGTGAATAATAAAACAATTGGAAAATTTAAACTACTTAGGTTCATATCATGCTGTCAAAAATAATAATTGCAGTTTCACTGTCTTTATTAAACCTTAAGTTTATATAAATCCTGTTAGGACTTAACGTGGCTCTGCGTTTCTTTCATGCTCTTTGGAATGATTCTTTTTAAACTTGCACAAGATGCTTTCACGCCTGTTTTAGTTATAATATTTCTTTTATGCTCTTTGGAATGTTTTTTATATGCTCTCTTCATGCTTTTGAAATATTCTTATTATGAATAGAGAAAGGGCGAATCTGTCTAGGACCTCAAAGCATTTTATTCAGGGATAACTTACAGATTTCGCATTCCCGAGAATTTGATTTTAATAATTTGTCGACAGATGCCCATATTTAAGCTTTAATTCCATATATAATAGTTGATTGTCCAATATAACTTTTAAAAATATTCCATTATTATTTTCTTAAAGTAGACTAGTTTGTCATATCCAGTGACACTAAACATAATTTAACTACAATTTTATTTTACTTTAAAATGTTTTCTTCCGTTCTTTGAAAGAGGAGCTCGAAAAAAGAGTTCTCTCTTTCAGTTTTAAAAACAGTACGCAAATATTTAACCAGAATGTTTCTGTATGTATGTATGATTTGACGTAGCTAGGTTTAAAATTAACATATTAATATGAATTCTTAAAATGAGCAATAATCAGCTTTAAATTGGTGATGGTGTCAACTGAAGAGGTTTTATGAATTTCTGAAAGAAATCTGCAGAAGCGTTTCACTGAAAAATTTGAATTCTGCTTTCATTTTAATATTGTAATTGCCAGATAAGATTAAGCAACAAACATTGCATTATTATAAGCATAGCTTCATTTTTCAGCCTTTATTGGGCGCGGTTGCTAAGAAGCAACATGTGTTTTTATTGGCTCTTAATAGCAGATTTGCCAGTTAAAGGGTTTAGAAAACAGACAATAATTCTAAATATGCTAAAAGTTTAACTTAATTTTAACTGAAAATACTAAAAGGAAATTATTAAATTTTTCCATTTATATATAGTAAATGATGAATGTACTTTCGCGATATTAAGATCCTAGGATTTGTAACAACATAACTCTTTTTCATCCTAATTATTTCATTACTATTACTATTGTACTTGATGTAGAACTTGAAATCGTATAAAATATGATTTGCACAACTATGAGATGAGTGAAAAAGCATGTATTTCAGTTAAGATAACGGGAAATCAGATGGCGTCGGACCTCCGATAACCGGACTATTCTTCGAACTACGAAACCACGACCCTGCAGCCTGCCCGTCCGTCAGGATACGATTCGGATTGAAATACCTGTTTTGATATGATTTATTGAGTTTACCGCAAAGCACATTACGGCTATTTTCCTAAGAGGAAGAATGCCTTTGTGGAGGAATTTCAAAGGCAAAATACCAGTACAATACTTTACCATTCGGCTGCTGTTGGGCCTCCTTCAAGTGGAAACGGATGCACTTCTATTTAGTAGACATTTTCTGATAACAAACAAAAGCTTTTATCTTTTGCATGTCAGATAAAGGGAAGATTCCACTGCACTTTAAAAACAGTTTATTTGGCATAATTGTTTTAAGAATTTTTATATGTTCTCTACAAAGAACTGTTGATCTATTCATGAAGAATTTAACAGAACATTTATACAGCCTTGAATACTACTGAATTTGTACAACTCATATAAGTATATAAAGAGGTATTTAAACTCTGACCTTTTGAAAGCATTCTTAAGGAAGTCTCTGTTGTCAAATACGATGTTTTTATTTTCCGTCAAGCATCTGCCAGCAGAGATTTGAGTATAAAAGAAGAAAGAAGTATCAAAGAAGTAAATCAAGAGTTTTAAAGGATTTTCTAAGCATACCTCGTATAGTGATTTCTTTACTGAGCATAGCCACTCTTCCGTAGAATGAAGCCTCACATTTAATGGCTATTTTACCTTTCTGAAATAATTTTTCAGTGATCTGCAAGCGCAGTGTTGCGCTGCTAACTTGTAAATTATCGCTGTCTGGTATCACACTTTGATCAACAGTCTCTTCTGTGGGTACCTGACGGAAAGAAGTAATAATTTTTAGCATTCAGCAAATCTGCATTTCGCAAGTGTATTATAATATAACTAAGACTGTTTCTGAAAAGTAATGAACAATGCAATTTTTAAGCGAATTTTAGAGTGTCAAAGAACTTTGTAAATAAAAAGTTGATAGTTTCAAAAAAGACATTTAAAGCTTAAATATCATTTCATGTCAGGCAAATGAAATAAATAAACCTTTTCGTGGAAGAATCAACTGCAAAGAACGTTTTTACTTTATTCGTATTTCCTCTATTTTATTAGCTGCATATACTTCGAAAAATTTAATTTTCAATCAGTTTCAAAGTTGATTATTACCAATATAAAACGCACAGAAGTAAAGACGCAAAGACATAAGGAAGAAAACGCATAGACATAAAAAAGGAGGCCTTCCATTATTAAAATCTCAATTTCTCTTTCTCCCAAGAGAGCATATGAAGTGGTATTTAAACTCTGCCTTTTAAAAGAATTCTTAAAGAAGTCTCTCTCTCTATATATAGCATTTATTATAATAAAAATCATATTATTGAATTAACTCTGGCTATTATACTTTTATTAACATAGCAGCTATTAATTTTTATTCCAAACGTCACTGGTACTGGGTGAGACTTTCGACTTTTCTTAACTGTTTTCCTTGACTCTTAACCAGAAAATATTATGTTTCTATTAAAGTAATTTATTGGTTTTTATTCAAGGATTGAATGTGACGAATCGAATGTGAATTGGTTTGTATTCAAGAATCAAATGTGCGATAACCACCAAATTATTGTGCATCTGCTAAAGGGAAAGTTATTTCCTATTAAAAAGTCAATTTTTCTTTGCCAAATAAACAATAATTTAATTTTTAATTTTTTCTTTTTGCTTTTATTGTAATTTTTTTAACATTTTTGTTTTATTCGTATAATTTCATAATGTATCATACATAAGTTCAGGGAAACTTTAATAGCGTTTTAAAGGTTACTATTCATCAGCCCAGTTTGGCGTTTATATTTCACACTTCTAAGTTAATCGAATTGCATATTAATTTAATTTACTTTATTTAAGTTACAGTAACATTAAAGTACTGTTCCTAGGTGGTAATAATTAAATTCTAATATTAAATATATACACATACATACACACATACAAATATGTGATATTTTAAGTGCATAGTCGATACTGGTACTTTCAGCAGCTTGCAGTTATCAATGGCCGAGGGTGGATATTTTGATACGATGCAGCTCGAAGTCTGCGTAGTTAGGTAGATGGATGCATAAACCAAAAGCTTCCAGACGTGACTGTTTCAAAACGCAATTTTATTCCATGGTAATTCACATGAGATAGACAAGGCATTTGCAGCTGCTTTCTCTGTTCACTGAATATGTGTTGAACTAACAAAAATATAGGTCGTATAAGTACGCTCGTCTGTATGTGAAACCAAATATTGCGAATCCAGAATTGCTTTCCTCAATAAAAAAATTATCTTGAATCCAGCCATGCCTCTTTTCTCAAGTTTCTTTGCTAGGCATCTATTACGCCACCACCAAGTTCCAAATCATTCATATCATGTCGTATACATAAACAAAAAATAGCTGTCATTTGCATAAATATCCCCCCCAAATATTACCAAATATGGAATGTTTGATCGTCAATGGTGAACTTTCTGATGAAAATTAGGCAGAATTTTAAAAGTTTGCGAAATTCTCAAAACAGCGCTGCGTCACTAAATCTGGATTTGCATATTTTTAATTTCCTTTCCATATTAATTCAGCAGCTAATTTTTTAACTATTATATGCTTCTGAATGAGAAAAAGCATTTGTAGTTTTCGTGTATTGCTTTAACTGCATGATAATTTCAATGTTTTATCGAAAATAACCAAAACCAGCTAAGGCTTTCAACTGAACTGCAATGCTAACTTGAACTTTTATTTGATACACGAGAAAATATAGTTGATACAGCACACTCAAAATGAAAGCTGTCAAGTTGAAATTAACTATTGATTTCCCATAAATCGGAAAAAATTAATAAACTGTAATAAAGGTTTTAGTTATCAGAGGTAATATTTTGCTTTCCCTGTGGCTGTTTGGTTAAGAGCAGTTAATGTTGGGAATTCAATGCGGTTTCTTCCCCAGGCAAACTGGGTGACTACATGTTTTCACTGTTTTCCTCACATGTAGCGAACCAGATTCTCTTAGAAAGGATATACCAATGGCCGAGTGGTTACAAGTGGTTAAAAGTGCTCAATACTGATAGTTCTATCTGGCTTCGATCACAGGCGTACGGACGCCTCGCACTTAGTTTTCCCTTCGTGTGACATGAATTTGAGCTAGTTCCCATGTGAAAGTCTTCTACGAAGTTATCTCTCCCGTTAGGCAAATAGCTCTCGCGAATTCTACTTTAACCTTATCTACAGTACACTATATTCCTTATAAAGTCTTCCACGAAGGTATCCCTTTCCCAGGGCAGACAGCCCACACGTTCTTTGCCATATTCAAATAACGTATCCTAACTTGGACCTAACTAAGTTTGCGTCATGTGAATCTAGAAAACAACTGAAAGTACTCACACAAGATTGAAGTTTGGTAGCTGGATTAATGCATTGAATAATTTGGATAGTGGGAAAGATTAACGTTTGATTTAGCTTCTAAGTTTCTAAAGAACAGAAAAGACATAGGATTAGACATAATTTAAACTCAGTTTACTTGCAGAGATTATCAGAGTTAGGAGATTTGATTTATCAGATTATGGCGAAACAAACTAAGGGGTGGTATGTCTTCGCGGAAGACTTTGTAGGAAAATCTTGTTTGTATTCGAGTTACAAATGGAGAATACCATGAAAATGTCTATGCAGACAACCTGTTTGCTGGGTTTGAATCCTTTTAGGATTTTCGGAGCTAGAAACGTAAAACAGAGACGAGAATTAGCCGGTCCTGCACGAGCGAACAACTAGCATCACAAGAAAACTCATGCGAGAACGGAATTTAGTTTTTTTTTTTTTTTTTTAATTTTAATCATAGCAAAGCGTTCGAGGGCTATCTGCCTAAGGGTAAAAATACCTTTGTGGAGGATTTCTGATAGAAATTGGCTCATATCCACGTTGTACATAGGGCAAACTACGACAATTTCCATGCAGCCAGCCCGTTTAATGAGACTTGAACCATGGAAAGACTTACCAGTGTCCAACGACTTTACCGCTCGGCCAACGATGGCCGTTGGGAGAATGTGATAATTCCGTTTATTTCTCCCCTTTTAAAGAACTATTGGACAAAGACATGAAACCCGTTGATTAAACTGTCTCCATCTGCTAACAAGATATGCCAATTAATTGCACATGACAGTGCATGAAAGAATACGATAATTCCTTATAACATTATAGAGAAATTAAGATAATTTTTAGATAAGTGTTTTGGTTATAATTTTGTTATTTGTTAAACTTAAAACCATACGAACGATTGCTTAGGATTCTGGAAAAAAAACACACTTATTCAACTTTTAATTATGCTTCATGGGTTTCTTAACTATAAATTTTTGATGAAATGTATTCTGATAGAACGATGATACTGCAGAGACAAATTATGGTCAAAACGTAAAGCCCTTATTTTGGGCAAAATTACCTTAAAGCGCAGAATTTTATTTAAAACTGCTCCAAAATAGAACAATTAATCCTTTAAAATAAGTTTAAAATAAAAGAAAATAAAAATCATAAAATCAGAAGATTAACCAAACGGTCATTTTTATTAATCAAGCAAAACTTCATAGCACATTCTTTATAAAGCAAATTATTAAACATTGAAAACAAAGACGGTTTTAATCATAATTCGGAGAATATTTAAAAATTTTATGAAATTAACCTTACAGCAGACGACACCTTAATAGAGGTAAACACATTACGGTTTTGTTGTTACATATGTCGCAAAAGCTGCATATTCATTTTTTCTGATTATGGATACAGTGGGCCTATATCCCTTACTAGGAGGATTTATTCGGTATACTGGAAAAGCGGCTGATGCTACAGACGCATGAAAGCAATGATGATTACTTCCCTTCAAAAACACATTTTTCTAGCTCTCTACAACAAATATTATTATAATAGAGAGTATTTCACTCAAGATTTGTCACAAAGACAGAAACCATTTACGAGAGGATCTCAATCAATACTTGCTGAAAAAATAGAACGCATAAGATGAGAAAAAAAAAAGTTAAGGCTGGGACTATATTACTCTTTGGATTTTATTACGTTTCTTTGGCGCTGGTTTATCACGGCGATGGTTATTTATAATATCTTCGTCCTACCAATTCAAAGTTAAAGTTTAGGATCTTCGCAACCATATCAGCCCTGGTTGATCGTAATGCCCTGATATGGATGTAAGGCGAAATGGTTATCGCATACATATCTGCCATGTAAACAAAAGCAAGCGCATTAAGCTTTTGTGAAATAAAATTGAGTTTTTCTCCGTGCTTTTGTGAAATAAAAAAAAAAAAATACTGAACTCCTTTGTCTCCATTTAAAGAATAAAATTTGGTACAGGCTGCGTAGATTATTTCTTGTTAATTTTAAGATGTTTCATGGAATCATGAATAATCTTGTACTTTCATTATTGAATTAAAGGAAATAATTTTAATTAGCAGTTTTGTTAAAAGCTTCTTTCTTAAAGTCCAAGAAACATTCATTATTCTGATTAGTTTCTCATTTCTAAAAAACAGAACGAATAGCCCTGCCATTCTAATTTTAATGTATTTGTAATTCTAGGTAACTCGTAAGTAATATAATGCAGCATTTATACTTGCCGCAACAATATTGTTGGAGAGGAAATGCGTCATTCCTCTGCTAGCCAGTCAAAAGAAACCTTACATCTCATAGCGTTTATTTATTCCTATAACCAAAGAATGAATATTTTCCTAATTGAGGTATGAATATTTTCCTAATTTTATAATTTTCCTAATCCTTTTGTCATAATTTCTTTTGTTACAATTAATAATTTCCTATTTTTGAAGTATAACTCTCTCTTACATGTTGCAAAATTCCTTAGAGTAAAAACGTTGAGACATGCGAAAATGAGATTACAAAATTAGATCAATGGGCCCACCAGCGGCCGAGCGGTAAAAGCTGCTGAACACTGGTAGTTTGGTCCGGGGAATTAGTCACGGCGAACGGGCTGGCTGCATGGGCGTCTTCGTGGTTTTCCCCATGTGTAAAGTGGATATGAGCCAGATTCCCTTAAAAAGACCTCCATGGGGCATCCCTCCCTTTCCGTGTAGTGCCGTGTAGTGCGAAGCACGTAATAATAATAATAAAAAAATAAAAAAGTAGATCAATTTTTCCATTCTTTAACATTACATTTCTGAATTATTCTGAGGCATTTAAAACGGACGCAAATCTCTAGCTATTTCAAATTTTCTGGATAACATTATGGATGTGTACTTTGAAAAGAAAAAAATAACAGATCAATTTATTTCAATGTGTTTTTAAGCTCTTCTGCAAGCGTACTTATATGGTGCTTTCATTACTTCTAATCGCATAAATGCATATCAGCAATTCCAGACTAATACATCTACTAAAATCAATCATTGCCATATAAAAAATATGTTTTAATTTATGTTGTGGCAGATGTAATTTAAATTTCAATTCAAGTTTCACGTATTACCCGATAAAATATTCACGGTACTTAAATCCTTTAAGTTCAGCAACTAAACAAAATTAAGGAGGAAAAAAATCTAACATAATCTCTTTCATAACAATCATAGTTTTACCCTGCCATTTGAGTCATCTGGTGGATGTTTCTCTAATTAGTAATTTTTATTAATTATTAAGAGGATTCCAGACAGTAGTACAAGGTGAACTATCAATTATGCAAAACCCCTATTTTTGTGCACTTAACTGCTATTGCGATATGGTACTTAACTTTTTTATCTGCTAAAGATATGGTAAACTCCTAAAAACAATTACTATTTAATTATGCAAACTGCTTTCAAAGTTAAAATTTCATCATGCGTTAACTTTGATAATAAAGCCTAATTCTCTTACATAATCAATACAAATTTTGTTTTGCAGTTTTAAAAGATATAAATAATTAATTTAACAACATTCCATGAAATTCCGGAACTTCCAAGTTGCTTAAGACTTTTTTTCTTGATAATATTCCTAATAACTCACGTCTAATGCTCAAGTTCTTTCCTAATTTAATGCAATGAAAATGGTTTAACATATTTAATTTATAATAATTTTAAAACTGAAAATTATCTGCTTTTAGAATTAATTTTATTTAAAGAGAGGAACACAAATTTTTGTACATGAAACTCGTCAGAAGTGTATGAATAGTATATTTTGAGAAATAAATTCATCTGAATAGAGGAAAATTGGTGAATGAACGAAAACACTACGCTCAGTTTCAAGAAAATTGGCCTAATGTGATACTCACCGGCTGACCATTGATGAACCAACGGAGCTCCGCAGCAGGTTTTGATTTCGCCGACGTGCAGTTTAGTGTAACGTTATCTCCGGAGTCGTAATTCATTTGGCCTCCACTGATTGTGGGTCCTTCCAGGGGCAGTACTATGGATCAGGAATATTGGAAACTGTAATAATGCAAAGCACTCAAAAGAAAATCATTACCCTGCAGATTAAAATATCTGTGAAATATCTGTGAAATGGTTTCGCGTAAAATTGCCAAACGTTTTGCTGCTTTTGTATTTTTTCCCCATTAGATATATTTTGTGTGCAAAATTTCAAAGCATGCAATTTAGAAATATGAAATCAACAAGTGCTAGAATTTGAAAATTTATTATTGCAAATTATTAATAAAGTATCATATATCGTTTAAAGCATACATATGTAAATACAATCTTAAAAAAATAATTATCAAAAAAATCATTCAATATAAATTTATTTAAAATCATTCAATGTAAATTTTTAGACTTAATTCTTAAGAGCGCTTCTAAAAATCCACCAGCGGTCAAAATCACTGAACGTCAGAAATTTCGTCCAAGGTTTTTTTTTTTAAGAGATTTAGAAGATAGGACTAACAGAATTTTTTTCTCTGAAAAACCTAACTTCCTGGACAATTTTCGAAAGGATACTGATTCATATCTCCGTTATCAGTAAGGAAACTAAGAAAACTAATCAGCCATCCGGTCATTGCATAAGGAACTCAGGTTCATGGCTTTAACGAATCGGCCACCAAGTGAATATATAAAATAGGCAGTATTATATACAGGTGCCCACTAAAGTTCGGTACAACTCATTTAACTGACGAACGGCTGCGGCTAATATTCATAAAAGTGGTGTTCGGGTCTAGTAGGGTGGCTATGCACTACTAGATGAGATATCTTTCAGAGCAACCTGGTGGAAAACAACGTCCCTATCTCGAAAACGATACAAGATAGGAGAAAAAAGTGAATTACAAAGTTGTATAGAATCGTTGATTTAGTACGAAAAGACACCTTGTGGACATGAATATTAAGAACAGAACGTTTTAAATGTGCATTTGTTTGTTCGCGATTTTGGGTTTTGATCAATACTCGCTTTAAAAATGTCTTTAAAGGAAAGCCAAGAATGCATTTCTCCTGAAAATATTGGTAATTAAATCTTAGGTAAATGCACAACAGAATTTTCCGAAATTATTGAATTTTCTACTTTATTCTCTTTCACAATTCGATAATCTAGTATTTGTTTCAAATTCTGTATCAATAATACTACAACTGATTTCATCTTGCTAACTGAAGATTTTTTCGATATTTTCTTCACCACTTAAATTGATAATGGAATTAAAAATATTATCAAATTCATTTTGCAGATTTTTAAATTTGGTTTTTAACAATTCTAAATCACTAACACTTAAATCTAGCTCACAAAGTTTCTTTTGCAATTTCGATAAGATAGTTTTCTGAATTCTCTTTTTAGTGAGAACATCTTTTAATTTCGTAGCCATTTTTTGCTACACTTATCAATAATAACAAATTATCACACAAACTTAATTCTGAATTTACTAAATGCAACAGTTAATAATGATTAGAGTTTCAAGGGTTTTTTACTTACCCCTTTCTTTCAGCAACTGGCTATAATCCACGAACACAAATTCCATAGAAACAAAATGGGAAATCACAGTTTTACATTAGATTATTTACTTAGCCGATATCGCTCGGGCTCTACAGGACCACTCAAAATGGTCCGGCTAATTCTAAATGGACTGTAACTCTTAATTAAACTAATTAAAAAACTATAATGTAATATATCGTTATCTTTATTTGACTAATTTGTGAAAGACACTCTCAGGCTTCCACACTCACTCTCTGCTTCGCCATTGAAGCAAACTCTCAAAGGTAATAACATTCTTTCGTAAACAGTAGCGATGGCAGCGCCATCTGGTTTCAAGGGTATTTAACAACCCATTTTACGAATATAGCTGCAGAGCCGTTCAGCAGTTAAACAGGTGGTACCGAACTTTAGTGGACACCCTGTATATATATATATCATATATCTATACATATATATATATAACAGGTCTAAAAGTGTAGCTAAAAGGTCCAACCTTATAACTAAGTCATTGCATAAATCTTGTTACCAAAAAAAAAAAAAAAAAAAAAAAAAAAAAAAAAAACGATTAAAGACAATGCGAGAAAGAACTAAAGAATATCCAGTATTTTCTAAAGCATAAAAGAAACCTAGTAAGAAAAACATTTACTGGAACTTAGAGAAATTAAGAAGTTACAAAAATCATGTAGTTCATATTGCATAAATCTGATATCTAAAGATGTTTTATTACATATTTGACAATTAGCGTTTTACAGCCAACTCTGCACGATAAAAATGTTAAATGTGTTAAATGAAAATGAATAACGTAATGCAGTTAAAAATATTGAAGCAAATATATGATAACAACTAAAAAGTTATTTTTGTTATGAATTTTACTTTAGTGAGCCAAACAAGTTGAGAAATTTAGGCGAAAAGGTTTTTTGAATCCAAGAAACATATTTTATATGTTTCTCGGATTTTTTCTTGGATTTCTAGGATTCGAATCATGGAATTTCTAATTGCCGGTTGGAACGCCTCTACAGAAACCATTAGGTATTTTAAAAGCCAGGAAATACGAAAAATCAACTGTACTCTCAACGACATCCAAACCATAGATCTTTCAGTTGCCAATTGGACGCGCAAAGCATTTGCACCACGAGAAGATGCATTGGGGTGAGGGAGTAATTGTGATAATTTCTCATAAGGTAGACAGGGTTGCATTCAATCAGTATGAGAAACATAGATTTTGTATTTTTAGCATTAAGTATTTACCAAGTTTCGTATTATTACCATTCACCGAAAGTTTAAGAAAGGAAGACGAATTGTATTCCTACGTTGAGGTAAATCTCATTTTTACAAATGGTAAGTTACTTTAACATAAAAGATTTTTATGCCCGAATATCATTCATTCTTTCAAATATTAGGGAAGTTTAAAAAAGGCGTCTGAAATAAGGTAAAAAGAACAGTTTTCGGTCTGTTATATTATTGTGTGTATAGAAATATATTCATGCAGATCAGCAGATTTGCCGTCTGGCATTCCTAAAACCTATGTAGTTAACGTTAAAGTTATGTAGGAAACGTGATTTGAGTTGAATTCTAAGAATATAAATGAACTAAAATGCTAAGCCAGTTATTGCAAAAACTCAAAACACAGAGTTCTGCTGGCTTATTTTTAAATTTGGTAACATAAATTATCCTTACATCCTTAGATTTGGTATCCAAATCGGTATTTGCGTCAGCTACAATTCGTTTCCTCGAGGAAATGCAGAGAAATGAAAGGCATAGCTTATTTGTTCGATATCGCTTTGTTTATTATGGGTTAAACTGCATGATTGTGGCTGTAGTTTGAGGAAGTGTTTAGACGTTATGCATGCAAAATTTCCTGTATCTGAATAAAGAATACTTTTCTAGTTACGTAAGCATGTATTTTGATTGCTGTGAAAGTATATATTTTCGAACGTCGATAAAAAGAAAAATATGCAGTTTTGAGAACTTGGTAGTTAACATAATCAGACTACACAAATTAACTTACTGCTATACAATCAGTCTTCGTAGAACAATCACTTTTCATAACTGAAAAAAACCTAATTCTTTTTTTAAGCGTAGAGTTATAATTCATAATTACTGCCAGAATTTAGAAAGTTTTGTATACAAAATATGTAACAAATGCAGACAAGTGTGCATAGCAGTACCCAAAGAATCTTTCAAAGTTTTATTTTGTAATAGCCTCTGCTGCGTAACTGTAGGCTGAAATATAACACAAGCATATGATTTTCTAGTAGTAAATAGAATGCTTACTATCTCTTGGGTTAGCTAGATGTGAGTCCGTTGTGACAGTAAAACGGAAATTTTCTACGAAACATCAGATTTGTACCTGAGGACAACTGCTCATGGGTGTTACGTCAAGCTCAGCTGAGAAGAAGAGTAGCATGTCAGCAGACGTGAACAGGCCAATTTTGGTCTTGCTGGCACAACAAGTCTATAACGCACTGAGGGTTTTTTTTAATCGTATATTTAAGAATGTTAATGGCCGAAGGCCATTAACAATGAAGCGAAGACTCGCCACGCGTTGGCGTGGAATGGAAAGGTGAACACTAAGTGAATGTAGATATTCACTAAATGAAATTTTAAAACAAAAGATCTTAAAATAAAGAAAACAAAGTACTATTCTTGAAAATAAAATAATAAAGTGAGAGTCTGGAAAAAAGTGTAGTGTCCATACAAAGAAATCTACCATTTGGCATTATCATTCTCAGTCTCTTGGCATTACAAATAATTGCAGGCTCCTAAAAAAGGAATATTATTTATTCACTTATTAATGTGCTTCGCCGTTCGGCACTACACGTAAAGGAAGAGATGCCCCGTGGAAGATTTTTAAGGGAAACTGGCTCGTATCCAGAATAAGGAAAAACATTATTTATTCACTTATTAATGTGCTTCATAAGGAAAAACCAAAAGGTTCCACGTAAAGGAAGAGATACTACACTACACGTAAGGCACTACACGTAAAGGAAGAGATGCCCCGTGGAAGATTTTGAAGGGAAACTGGCTCGTATCCATGTTACACATAAGGAAAAACATGAAAAAGGCCCATCCAGTATAAGTAATTGCAGTGATTTCGAGATTGACGGAGATGGAAATATTATTAAAAAAGTGGCTAGAATACATTACAATACAATCATGAATGTTTGGTATGTCGATGTCGCAATGAATAACGCAATATCTAACAAACCAAGGAACACTAACCATGATACGTAGAAAGAACTTATATACGAAACAAATAAAAAATTTGGAGAGATTCTTCGCACCTTTTCGCCGTATTCGAATCCAAGTCAAAATTTTATTCGAATCCAAGACAAAATTGTAACTGATATGTTATAAATATGTAACTGGCGAATGCATATTGTTATTATAATATTGCGCCTTTCCACGAAACAAGATTTAGTTTTTATACTCTTTCAATTTAATTGAAACTCAAGTACACAGAATGAAAAAGGATAATTAAAGTGATAAAACTGTTAAAATTTCATTTAGGCATAATG